TTCCTTTCTGCACCACGAAGTGTTGTTGGGAACACTTCAAAATCTATTACCTCTTCAGCTGTTTCACGGCTCTATCGAACAGCGAGGATCTTTACCGGTGTATCTGAGTATATGTTTTCTATCAGCGAGCAAGGAAGACATTGGATTCGCCTTTATTTCTATCCATTTGTTTATGCTAGTTATGATTTGAGCTTGGCAAGGTTCGATGTTTCCACTGAAAACCATGTCCTTCTCAGCAGTCTCAGTGTTGGAGTTCCTCTTGTCAAAGAATTCTCTGTTAATGTAACCACCAACAGCCTCACCATCATATTCACTCCTTCAGAGAATTCATTTGCTTTTATAAATGCTTTAGAAGTTGTTTCGGCCCCTGATCGGCTCATTCCGGACGATGCACGTACCGTTAAATCGTCAATGGGGTTCCAAGGCTTGACGTGGCAGGCACTAGAGACGGTTGCTAGGGTGAATATGGGAGGACCGATGGTCTCCTTGGACAACGATACACTTTCTCGGACATGGGTCCCTGATCAGAGTTTTCTTATTGAAAAGAATCTTGCCTCAACTGTATCGAATATTAGATCTGTTAAGTATGTTGATGGTGGATCAACACCAGAGATTGCTCCAGCTTCTGTTTATGGTACCTGCACCAAGATGAACTCCTTAGGCGACCCTAATAGCAACTTCAATGTGACCTGGGAATTCGACGTGGATCCGGGATTTCAGTACCTTGTAAGGTTTCATTTTTGTGATATTATCAGCACTTCTCTTAATCAGCTGTATTTCAATGTTTTCATCGACTCCTCAATGGTTGTTCGGGACCTTGATCTCAGTACTTACTCGGTTAATGTTTTGGCTGCTGCATATTATATGGATTATGTTACAGATTCAGCCATGACGAATAAGCTTCGAGTAAGCATCGGTCCATCGAATTTACATGATGTTTACCCTGATGCCATACTAAATGGGCTAGAAATCATGAAATTGAACAATTCTGATGGCAGCCTTACCGGCTCGGGAAATGCGAGTACTCATCGTTCAAGTTCAAAGAAGAAAGTTGGTGCTATAGTCGGTGTGAGTGTTGGTGTGGCTTTTGGAGTGCTATTGGCAGGAGTTTTGTTTATGTTTTGGAGACAAAGAAAACTGGCATGCCGGAGGGACTCAAAGACATGGGTTCCTTTTTCAACTAATGGAGGAACTTCACACACCATGGGGAGCAAATACTCCAAAGCAACGACTGCCAGTCTCAATTCAAATACGGGGTATCACATTCCTTTCCTAGCTGTTCAAGAAGCCACCAACAACTTTGATGAAAGTTGGGTTATTGGGATTGGAGGTTTCGGTAAGGTGTACAAGGGAGAGATGAATGATGGTACGAAAGTAGCTGTTAAAAGGGGAAATCCTCTGTCCCAACAAGGACTTGCCGAATTCCAGACTGAAATTGAGATGCTATCCCAGTTCCGCCACCGCCATTTAGTGTCTTTGATCGGTTATTGTGATGAAAAGAATGAGATGATCTTGATTTATGAATATATGGAGAATGGAACACTCAAGAGTCATCTATATGGCTCAGGCTATCCAAGTTTAAGTTGGAAACAAAGGCTTGAAATATGCATTGGAGCAGCTAGAGGACTCCATTACCTTCATACAGGCTATGCTAAAGCAGTTATTCATCGTGACGTGAAGTCTGCGAATATTTTACTTGACGAGAATCTCATGGCCAAAGTTGCTGATTTCGGGCTGTCAAAGACAGGTCCTGAAATCGATCAGACCCATGTCAGTACAGCTGTGAAAGGAAGTTTCGGGTACTTGGATCCAGAATATTTCAGAAGGCAACAACTGACAGAGAAATCTGATGTGTATTCATTCGGAGTGGTTTTGTTTGAAGTTCTTTGTGCAAGGCCAGTGATAGATCCAACTCTTCAAAGGGAAATGGTAAATCTAGCTGAATGGGCAATGAAATGGCAGAAAAGAGGACAGTTAGTGCAAATAATTGATCCTAATCTCAAAGGAAACATCAGGTCTGATTCTCTTAGGAAGTTTGGAGAAACTGCTGAGAAATGCTTAGCTGATTTCGGAGTCGACAGGCCCTCCATGGGGGATGTCTTATGGAATCTGGAGTATGCTCTTCAACTTCAGGAGGCTGTTGTTCAAGGTGATCCCGAAGACAACAGTACAAACATGATCGGTGATCTTTCTCCGCAAATTAACGATTTCAGTCAGCTTGATCCCACTGTTTCTTCTGCTCAGTTTGAATTGTCAAGTGTAGATGACCTCTCAGGTGCTTCAATGAGTAAAGTGTTCTCCCAACTGGTGAAGTCTGAAGGCAGGTGAATATGATATATAGAACAAATGATTACATGGTTTTCTCTGATCCACCAAAGCTTGCAACATCCGAGTAGATAAACTAATTTTCTTTACTTTGTATTGAAAGGTCGAATGTTCGAGTTCCTCTGTTTTTTCCCATATGTAGTATGCTGGTTTCTTTGGTTAGTCGTCAGACAATCCAGGGTGAAGCTTTGTTCTAAAATGAACTTGCATAAAGAGTTGTGACCACTTCCATGTACACTAATGCAAAATGACAAATCAGTGAGTGAATCACCGAGTCATTGCTTCATTTGTTTATGAATCTCTGTCACCCTTGAATTTCTCATATTTGGTATAATCGTACCTTGAGAATAAAATTCTACCTCACGTTGTTTAATCCATTACCCATGAGAGAACAGGTTGCAGTTGGCAGAAGCAGCAACAAATGATGAAAGCACATGCTTCCAAATTGCCTTAATTTCTTTTTATGGATCGAGTCCAATCTTGGGAGTAGAGCAGGCTGGTCATGATGAAAGCCCGCTTGAAACAAGAATACATGATTCACCAAGCTGCTGCCATAGTTTCAAAGCTTCCCACAGCCAAATTTTATATTCCAACTCGGTGTTAAAAATAAATGTTAAATTTTTAAAAAGTACCCTCGAATATTTGGAGAAATATACTTGTATCCAAATGTTGATAAAAAATTTATAATAAATTTAAAGAATATAATTTTTTATTAGTCTGGAATGGATGTAACTGCTCGAGCCCAATACTCTTAGAAAAAATAACATCCCTTTTATCAGTGAAATTGCTCAATGAATTTAAAGAAATATAATTTTAAAATTTATTATATTTTTTATTAACTTAATATTAAATTATACATCATTGATATATCAAATTCTAATACATATAATGGCCGTCCCTTGTTCCCATATGTAATGGGGTAAGGGGGAGGTAAGATAGACCTCCAAATTATGAAATGTCCTCTATGGGACTCGATCCCACGATCTCAAGGTTAAAAACCTTGTGTTCTACCAACTGAGTTGGATGGTCATTTCCAAATTCTAATACATATAAATAATTACTAAACAGGCATGTTACTGATATAAATATTGCAGTGTCCATTCTCTTGGCAGTTCATTATATTTTTATCTCTAAAAAGTTTTACTCGTGCATTTCAGAACATCATGCCTCACACATTTTACCTACTATATCCCATTATCATCATCATAGGAAATTGCAATTATGTCAATTTCATCATAACAAATGATGGGGGCAGCAACAAAAGAAAGCCTACCACTTGATAATCCTGGGGGAATTTTTTGATAATTCATAGCTAATGCATTTAATTGGAATATTACAGTACCAATTGTTTTACCTGCTTCAGCCAGTAAATGCATATTCAAAAAGTATCGAATATAGATATATATTCGATTTGTATATATTAATATTTTTAATTCTTCTATACTTTGAAGAATTATAATCCTTACTCTATGTTTGAATGTATATTAAACACAAATATCAAATTTAGTATATAATAAAGAAGGATGGAGAAAGACATAAAATCCAGAGTCGATTAATGCAAAGCAAACTTGCATTGTAAGTTACATACTATCTTTTGGACCTTAAAAACACATTAATTTTTTGTTCCATGATTGCTTACAGTATGATGGATACTCAAAAACTCTTTTTGCATCTTTTCTTTTGGATTACTTCTTCCACTCATAGTCACAACTGGTGCTGACCCTTTCTTTCCCATCCCTTTCAATACATGGAAGAGTCAAAAGAAAACATATAGAAAATTTACGAGGAAAGAATTCAAACCCCTTTTGATTCGATAAAAAAAACTTATCTTTTTATATCTAGATCTAACCGATTAGAGGAGTCAAATTCTTTTTACGAAAAAAATATACACGTCGGTAATAATTAAGAAAGATTATGAATAAATACTATTATAAACACTTCGGATTATTTAAAACAATTAAGAGTTTAAGGGATAAATCAATCCCTCAAAATCGTTGGCACCAACATTCATACCCACCTCCACCATCACTATTGCCATCATCATCTGTGTACTATTTCACAAATTTGCTTTACTCTTTAAGAATTAGCAATTGTGATTTTCTTTGACTTTAGACTAAAGATTTTTAGTGTCAAAGTAATGTTAGTCCATACCCTACAGAGACGGATCGAAGGGACTGACATGAATAGTCATTCTCAAGAAAATTTTATTCTCTTGTAATTTAAATATTTTTTTCTATATATTTTCTATTTATAATTTGTTTTCATCTTGTAAAATTTTATAAGTTCATTTCCTTCTCTAATATCCAACCAGACTCGTATTAATTTGGTTGTTAAAACTGGAACCCATATTTTTTTTATAAATTGTTCATTTAGTTATTTTATCCTATAGACTTTGCTTCATATCAAGAGTGTTCTAGCAGCTCTGAATCTTAATTCACAAGTGACTCAACCAAGCATGGCAGACCTTATCATTGTCCAGAATCGATGATTCTAAAGTATTTTTCTACGACGAAATACAATATTTGAATTTGAAGATGAATATTAGATATAAATTGTTTTGATAGGAACAAGATGATTGTATGAATCGAGATGATTTACTCCTTTTGATTTGGATGGAATTGCATTCGGTCAAGATGTATGGACTTTACTAAATATTTGCTTAAAATTAGAACCAGTTGTCGATAATACTCTCTGCACTTTAGCCATTAACAAATCATGGTATCAGCAAAATCCATTAACAAAGACAATAATATAGATGGAAGAACAAAGAAAAGGCATGAAATAAATAAAAACTTAATGCTATTAGAAAGTTATTTAAAAACTGAAAAAGGAAGCACTGAAAGCTGAAATTAATATGTAAAAAGGTAAAGGAAAATGATATGTTCAATCTCCATGATGATCAGCCACATCAACCTTGGAAGTGCAGGCCAACAGCCTCCGAAACATGGCCAAGAGGGCGGCACAAGAAACCTCTTTGGCCCTTCTGAGAGCCCCGTTCTTCTTCTTGGCAACAGTTTTGGACTTGTTTTTTCTTCTACAACTCATGTCCTTCTTATCAACTGATCTGCCAAAACATTTTGTTTTCTCAGTCTCGGTCTGGTTGCTCCTGTGAAACGTGTAGCTCCTCAGGTATATTTGCCTGCACGAGATGCTATCAACAACAGTGGGGTGTGGACGGCCGCCATTGCTGCGCCAGTCGGAGCTCAGTGACCTTACAAACTCAGCATCGGATTCCGGCCACTTATAGAGGTTCACGTAGGTTGGCCTGACCGGGAGAGGGAACCTTGTGTCATTGATGCAGTTTGAGATACAGGTTTTAGCCATTGGGATTCAGGTTTATAGGAAAGAGTACTGAATGCCTGCTTCTAAATGAAAGATAATGGAGATATATTGAGAGAAAGAAAAAGAGAGAGATAGAGAGAAGGTAGAAACTTCCCTATAGGGGTTTATAGTTATACAGTGGTTTCTGTTATATGGAAAACGTAATGATTCGACATCATTGGTGAGTGTATGCATGAAGGAAAACAGTTTGTCACTTTGGGTTCATGTATTTATTAATAAACGAAGTAATTTTCTTTTTGTAGACATTGTGGCAGAGGATAGGGGACAAGCTGTTGTAGATCGACAAATATATGTACAGTGTACATGAATTACAGGTGGATACCATCAAGATAGTGTTATCGTTAAGCGTTGAAATACTTACGTAATTGTTGCTTTGATTAGGCCATCGACTCTTGAGAACCGGCAGATGCGATTCGGGAAAGTTGTAGCGAAAAGAGATTGAATTGGGGGCGGTACCTTTGGGCCAAAGTTAATTATCCTCGTAATTTCAGGCACCCCATTACTGAAAAGGCTGGGGTTGCGGTCGGTCATCAATTAAAAACTACAGTCTTCCATATAGGAACTTAGAATTAATGTATGCAACTTTCAGCATAAAAGAAACCTTAGGGATGCATGCTCTATGTGCAAGTATTAACCTAGACTCTATTCAATCCAGACATAACACAAATAGGATATACTATATTCTAATAACAGTATGATATTAATATAGGTCCGAATCAGATTCGAATTGCACATAAGAAATAGCATGTTATTTAAGAATGCATTGAGGGACTAGTTTGCTCAACACATCAAATATGACATAAAATAAATTCATTCAAGATTCAAGAACTAAAGAGCAATTTCATACAATTGTAGTAATTAATATTGATACTAATAAATATGTATAACTACTATTCTCCTTCTAAATTAATCATTAAACTTTTGAATATTTTAATTTTATCTCTAAATTATGACCCTCTTTCTAAATTAATCCCCAAAATTTTGAATATTCTAATTTCATCACCAAATTCATTCAAATATATAATTAGTTTCAACAATAGTTTAACCTTTTTTTTATATATATATATATGAAAATATTTTAAAATGCCTCTAAATATATTGATTATATAAATATAAGTTTTAAAATTTATTGATTAAATTTGTATATTATGTGATTTTTTTATAAAATTAAATTGATATATTTTTATAGTTATATGTTATAGGTTGTATGAAATCATGGGTAAATAAAGAAGACTAAATGAATTTTGTTTCTTTAAATTTTTATGTAAACATTTGAATTTTATGGATTTATAAAATTTTCTTTTATAAATATGGTATTTTAATACATATAATTTACATTAACAAAGGTACTAAAAAAATTTAATTAATATATATAAATTTTTTAAATGGCTCTCCAAAAGATAATGTTGAGTATATTACTGCCGACCTTTCTTTCAGTTTCATTATTTATTTTTTGATAATTCTAGGGTGAATATATATAATATTTATTAAAAGATTATTAATTATTTAACAATGAATGATCGTACATTTATATATGGTTATCGAACCTAAAATCTAAAGAAATAACAATAATCCCTCGACCATTAAAATTTTAATGGCTTGGTTCGTAAGATTATGGCCCCAAATGGCTCAAACCTTACCTTGAAAGAATCTAAAACCTCTTTCTTTTCACCGTATGGGTATTTTGTTGGAAAAATATACCACCTGATGGCTAGCAGAATGGACCTATCTTAGCATCTTATTCCCCAAATTGTCGAGATATTTCCTCGCATTCCAATACAGTTGCGTATCTAACGAGCAAAACTAAAACAAAATTCCACTTCTTGAAGCATCACTGCAAAAAAACCGGGGGGAAATTTCCTACTTGTGAACTATATCTGTATAAGTATGCATCGATGGATTTCCTAGTAAGTTAGGGAAGTTAAGTTTCAGGCTCCAATTCAACTCTATCAGAAATTTCAATCACCTAACAAGTTAACTAATAGTCCAAAAGTGCTACCTTTTAAAATTCACCTTTTTCGGTTGCTACGTTAAAGGCTATTCATTTCCTAGTTTTATCAGTCCAAGCTTTCTTCACGCTTAAAATTCCTCCGGTAACCATCCGAATCGCAGAAGAAAATGGCTGAAGCACTTGTTTCCGCAATTCTGAATCAATTACAAACAAGTACAGTACGAGAATGGAGATTGCTAGCAGACGTTGATCAAGAAATCAACAAGCTTGAAACCTACCTCAAAGACATCCATGCTGTGCTTGAAGATGACGAAGAAAAGCAAGTGACAGATGCAAGTGTCAAACGTTGGCTAACTAAACTCAAAGAAGCATCGTATGAGAGGGAGGACGCGTGGGACGAGTGCAACTTTGCATCCTTGAAACCCATACCAGTTGAAGATGGATTTTTCACACAAGGTACTTTCTTTGATCTTCTGTGATTTATTTCGTCACGTTTGTTGGCTTCATAAAATCGCTGTCCAAATAGAAAGAATAAATGTTGTTTTAGATGAGATTGCCAAGGAGAGAGGCAGGTATCAATTAGTGAAAAGGGAAATCAAACAACCTAGTCGAGTCGAAAGCGCATCTTTCGTCGATGTGTCGAAGTTACATGGTCGAGATGAAGTTAGAAAAGAGATAGTGAGTGCATTGTTTAGTGAGGATAGCAGGCAAACCATCTCCATTGTGGGGATGGGAGGGATAGGCAAAACAGCTCTTGCTCAATTAATCTATGATGATAGTGAAGTTCGACAACATTTCTACAAAATGATTTGGGTGTGTAATTCTGACTATTTTGATCAACACCAAATAGCTAGAATCATCCTTGGTGCCTTCACTCGCCGAAACTCGCCAATCCCTGCATCATTAGAAGGAAATTTTAGCCAAATCACTGAAAATATCACAAACAAAAAATTCTTTCTCGTTTTAGATGATGTGTGGACGGAGAGAGATGAAGATTGGGAACAGTCACGGTCGTGATGGACTCGTTTCGTGTGTTTTATTTAGAAGAACTATCGGACCACTTTAGTTGGTTGACACTCAGCCAAATAGCACTTAGTGGAAAAGATAAGAAACTGTGTGAAACATTGGAGGACGTTGGGAAGGAATTAGCAAAGAAGTGTAAAGGTTTGCCACTAGCCGCAAAGACTTTAGGAGGCTTATAAAGAGAGAAATGTACTTCAGATGAGTGGCTAAATGTACTGAATAGTGAGTTATGGAGATTGAAGCACGCTCAAGAATATATTTTACACCTTTGTTGCTTAGTTATTATGATTTTCCTCCGGCAATAAGACCATGTTTTCTGCACTGTGATGAAAAAAATTCAAGTTAATCGCCCATTGGATGGCTCATGGTTACTTAAACTATGATAATGGTGACAATGTAGATATGGAAGTAGTGGGTGAGGAGTACTTCAACTACATAGCATCTCACTCCTTGTTTCAAGATTTTGAACGAGATGATTATGGTAGCATAAAGTCTTGTAAAATTCATGACATAGTGTATGACTTCATCAAATTTTTGGTTAAGGATGAAATTTCATACAGGGGATGGTTCTAATTTAACTTTAGAGCTTGTCCACCATCTCTCAATCCCTCATGTATCAATTGATTCTCTTAAATCTACAATGCCCTTTATAGAAAATGACGGAGCTTAGTAGTGGACATAGTGTGGAACCTATGGATTATGTGCTAATAATAATAATAATGCGGAACCTATTGAGTGATCTCAGTGATAAGAGAAAATGTTATTTTTTTCTCAAGAATTTGGATTCAAGACATGTGTGAATTATAGATAGATAGAAAAATTTTGAACATATAAATCATGTTTATATTATTTTTCAAGTTAATTGCATCACATGTTCTCAAAGTATGATCTTAATTTTAAATTGGTCCCTAAATTTTTAAATATTTTAATTTCATCTTAAACTATGACTATATGAACAGCAATTTTAAAGCATTTTTCAAAAGCAATGCTAGTAGATTTTTTTATAAGACGTTTATTATTATACGAATCAGAAGTGAAAAAAATTCAAATGCGTGATTAAAATTGTTAAAAGTGTGTAATTAATTAATTTATTTTTTAATTCTTAAATTATCGCAAGGAAACTTGCCATGTTATTTTTGCTCGTGGAATTTGCTTATAGGAAGAGTAATCCTAGGAGTAGGATATGATCCCATGTTTCATAGTGGAACAGCAAAATCGGTTTTCTTCCCATTTGAATCGTAAGACGGTTATTTTGAAAGTTACTGCATCCTCCCCTCTTTATATACACCCACACCTTCGTCTTCACCAATATCACAAGTTCCAAATACAAGTGCTTTCTCTCCAACTTTCTCAGCATCCAAACAACATGTCAATGATTCACCATTTCCACGGCGGCCGACGCAGCAGCAGCGCTTTCGACCCTTTTTCTTTGAACATATGGGACCCTTTCAAGGACTTGGATTTCCCTCAACTTTCCCGAGAAAACGCTGTATTCGTCAACACACGTGTGGACTGGAAGGAGACCAACGATGCGCACGTCTTCAAGGCGGATCTTCCAGGGATGAAGAAAGAGGAGGTCAAAGTGGAGATCGAAGACGACAGGGTGCTCCAAATCAGCGGCGAGAGGAACGTTGAGAAAGAAGACAAGAACGACACGTGGCATCGCATTGAGAGAAGCAGCGGCAAGTTCTCCAGGAGGTTCCGGCTGCCGGAGAACGTGAAGATGGATGAAGTTAAAGCTTCCATGGAAAATGGGGTTCTCACTGTTACCGTACCTAAAGTCCAGACCAAACGAGCCGAGACAAGATCAATTTCAATTTCTGGTTAAACAAGGTGGCCTGTCCCCCTATTACTACATAGTATTTTACGTTATGTTGTCCCATCGGTGGTCTTGTTTTTCCTTGGTTCTGAAAGTTGCCTGAACGTTTTCCTTCTCCGGCAAATTGCCATTGAATAACAATAAGTGGATGGACTTCTTTTATATTTCTCGTTTTATATAACTTTTAGAGAGTTTTTTTTAAGCAGTTTCTATTTAGGGAGAGGAAGAATGTAAATTTCTACTCTTAATTATAACTCAACCTAAAAAAGGAGAAAGGTAATAATTAATAACTTTTAATCACTTACGCTATATGCTATACGTAATTGATGGTTTTTAGAAAAAAATTATATTAAGTAATAAATAGAGAGATTTATAACAGTTGAAGCGCATTTTCTGGTTATGAAATAATTAAGAGTATTTAGTAACCTCCGATTCTGAATTTTTAAGATTCAATAGATTCAATAAATTTATTATGTCCGACTTACAAGAACTACTCAAATCTTAGATTATGAATTCATTGATAGCGTAAGACTCAACCTCTCAAGTCAGTGAGTCCACCAAATTCATGTTAGTGAATTCATCAAGTCATTCTCATTAGAACCACTCAAAACATGAACTATAAATCCATTAAGAGCAAAAGATCAACCTTATGCATGTGTATTGTTTGCCGTATGAGTAGATAAAGATGTACATTGAGTCTTCCATTGCTTTGTTTGACTACAGGAAACTTAAGAAACTAGGTTGGGTATCCAACATGAATCCTTCAACTAAATAGATTTAAGACTCACCCTAAGAGATCAATATAAATTCTCTTCAATCATCTTGTACTCTAATATAAGTACTATCTTTTTTTTTTTTTTTTTCCAGACTCGTGCCTTCTTTTATTATTATAGGCTTAATTTTAAACTGCCATTATGATATCTTATAAGCCAAATAGAAACGTAAAGATTAAGAAATTTATCTTTATGGAGATTCTCAATAAAATAGATTTTTAAGGTGTTCAGCCTATTGCCTAAATAAGTCAAGACTTATCATCTTAGATTTCACAGTAGAATTATTAAAACAATTTTTTTTTATCAAATCTGCTCTGCCTAAGATGAACACATATCCAATAAAAAAAGTTTACCCAACCATAATGTTCTGTCCCGCACGTGTTTGGTTGTCAAGAAAATGGTATAAGTTACAAGGAAACAATAAAACCATTGCCTTTGGTTAATTACTTCTTTCTGCATGTGGGTTTTCCTTTGATCTGATTCTGGTACTAGTAAATTAGCTTATCAAGAAAGCTGAGACATAGAAGAGGATGCACTTACACAATTACTTATATCTCAAACCCCAAAATTCCAATAGTTCTGTATTATTTAGGGTTGAGAATTGAAGACAACTCTAATGATAAAGTGTTCAATCTTATAGTCTCTCCTTTGTGTTATTTGGTTTGAAATCAGTGAATGTGAAGATCAAGGATGGCAGATGTTGAGATGCCAATGCTTCTTAGTAACTTTCAGATTGATGTATCCCTCCTGGATCTACTGCATCATCAAATGCCTCAGTCCAACAGATCTTACTGGGAATGGAACAATAATTGAAGATATTTACTTCCGATCAACGAAATAGTTTCGAGGAATTCTCGTTCCCATCGGATTAGAAGTTCAACATTTTAAGGCCTTGTTAGTTCTACCATCAATGTGCCAATTAGAGAAAGCAAGGAATATAAACTGTCTTGATTTTGTTCATCTGTTTGTAGTGAAAGTACACATGTAAACGAGATGTATTGTTCATCGGATTAGAAGTTCAACATTTTAAAGTACACATGTCTCCGAGACCACTCTCGTTATCCTCAATGCCGATCTAGACCCCACCCTGTTCGAGTACTTAAAACGAGATGTATCCTCGGAAACCCGAATCTCCGGCAGAGGTTCGCCTTTCTTCGTTGCCACTTTCTTATCCAACCAAACCGCACCTCGAGTCTTGTTCGGCGTCCACCATGCTTTTATGTACTCTTTCCGGATCTCCCACAAATGGGAAGAAGACGCTAATCCGAATGCAATGTGTTTGAGCTGAGTATCGAATCGTTGGTATCGCCTCGGGGGTGGTTCAACAACAGGGCTCACTTGCCTTTGCTCTACTGGCGAAGATGTGTTCGATGAATGGTTAAAGGGTGGTGCTATAATTTAGTTGGAGATAGTGGTTAGAGCGTGATCTTTGCGCTCGGTTTTGCTGAACAGTAGATTTGAGTATACAATGTAAAGCAAAGCCATAGCCAGGAGCAAATAAATTATTAGGCCTCTCAATCTGTTCTGTGGCGTGCGTTGCTGGGTAGAGTTCATTTGTTTCCTACAAGGGTTAAACGTTTATTTTGCTTTTGTTCGTCTTTTTGTTGTTGATGATGATGATTTTGTTGTTTGATGCTTCCAATGTTTTCGATCCAAAGCATGGACAATGGCTAGGATTGTTATAGAAATCAGCATGGACTGAGAATTGTTCGGATCTAATTGACAATTTATAGTTTTTTCATGCTTACCATCAATGTAAGTATTCAAATTTATATACATTTTTCTTGAATTAAAATCTATATACATATTAACAACAAATGGTTTGTATAGAATTTCATAATATGTACATTGTAGGATATTTCGTATAAGGATGATATCTGCATCTAAAGTTTGGAGTTTGGGTTTAATTATCGCTATAAACGAGATGAGATAGATTTGCGAGTTATTCGAGTTTAATTCAGTGAGATAGATTTGTGAGTTATTTGAGTTTAATTCATTCAAAGTTTGGTCAATGTTTGTATCAAATGAACTTGATTCGAGTTTATAACAAGTCGAAGCGAGCTACTTGATACCCAACTCAAAAAGCTCGCGAACAACTCAAAAAATAATATATTGATTTTTTTAAATTTTTAAATTAAATTATTAATAATATTAACAATTATATGTTGAAGTTTTTTAAAATACAATATAAGATTTTCATTAATTCAAGGTTCGAGGATGAGTTTGAGCTTTAATCGAGTTAAGTCTGAGAATATTTCGAGTTAAAAAAATTTCAACTAAGAATCTAACTTTAATTTTTTATTTCGAGTTCGAGTCAAGCTTAAAAATTTTAAGATCGTGAGCTTTCAAGCCGGGTATCAAAATAGCTCGTGAGCTTTCTAAAAAAAATTAAACTCGTGAGCTTTCGAGTCGAACTTCAATTCTTGATTTTGAGTTTAAGTTGAGCTTGGCAATTTTAAATTCGTGAACTTATGAGTCAAGTCGGACTCAACTTTGTACTTTTTGAATCGTGTCGAACACAACATTATTTGAGTTTGACTTGACTAGTTTACAACCCTAAGTGTAACTCACCCCATTACAAATTAACTAAACTTATAATCTCCCCATAAATTTAATCTGTATTATCTCGTACCGTACGGTTTAAAGAAAATATTTTATATAGAAATATATTTTTAGAATTTTATTCAATAAATGGTTATAAATATAGTAAAGAATTCATATATAAATATATTGATCTAATGTTTGACAACAAAAATAAGATATATTTTATTATTACTATTTTAAATCATTTTTATTACTTCTCATCATCCTCAATTTTTTTAATAACTGCAAGCACACGTTATCATTGTCAAGTAATAGTTACAACAGAAGTAATTCGATACTTGAATACACAGGAAAATCGTACCACCATTCTACTCTCTTTCATAACAAACTAGACACTATGATAGAAATATGCTTCATCCACTTTGTCATGATGTATCTATCAATTCTCATAACACTTACGCTCGATTGAAAGATTAAGTACAAAGCACTAAAACAAAATATGGCAGACTAAACAATCTGTGGCAATTGCTAGTATGCAATAATACGAACACTAAAGAAAATGAATTCCCCAATAACTATCCCTTTTTTCCTGAAATTCATGAACAAAGATCGTGGAGGCACTAGAAATAAATACATTCTACCATCTTCTCTTTTCTTGTTCCTATCGTTGGTACAAATTAATCCACTAATTATTAAAAGTTTTGAGTTATTTGATTTTATTTTTATATCTCTACTCAAATTTGAAACTTTTTCGAGTCAAGCTTTTTTAGCATTGAATTGAACCAAAAAATTTAATTTTCGGAGTCAAATTTTGCTTGCAACTAGTACAAATAATATATACATTCTGAAAATTAGAGAAATGAATCATAAGTACTGAAATTCAAACTCCATATATGTTACAGACCATTACTTAATGATCCCATTTGTTTTCGGTACGGTAAAAGAAACATCTCCTCCGACAAAAACTGAGGATTAACAAATTCACAAACATATCAAGCACAACTCATCCCTTTTCTTTCCCCCAAACCCCCTTCCCTCCCCCCACCCTTTTTTTATGGAACTTTAATGATTCAGTGAATAATAAATAATTCCACACAAATAAAATGAATAGCTTACAGATTGAACAGGTGGCCTTCCATCTCTTTTGAAGTAAAGCCCCGCCTCTTTCAATACTTAAAAAGAAAAAAAGATGATGAAATGAAAAAAAAATAATGGCAAAATATACCTCAGCTATCAATAGCACTCGCCACGGAGGGTGGTTGTCACTGTTGAGTCGGAGATTGAGACGGGGGCTGCGGTGCTTGGGAATCAGGTTGTGCTAGTGCCAGTTTTTGCCGCTCCACAAGCCTGCTCATGCGCTCTAACAACTGAGTAGCCTTGCGCTTACCCCTATCTGTACCATTTTGTGCCAAGTCTAGCAAAGGGTCCATAACTCCTAGTTCCTGGGCCTCTGCTAAATGTTGTTGGTCTCCGGCACAAAGGTGCACCAACACTGCAGCTGCATTCTCTCTGTTCCTCGGGGATCCATTTCCAATAACATCTACCAAAACTGGCACTGCCTCTGCTGCTCCAATGGCAGACTTCCCTTCAGGATGGCTTCCAAGCATTGCTAGTATAGCCAATGCTTCATCCACCATTCCACCTCCTGGTTCTCTCAACAAACGCATTAATGTAGGCACAACACCAGCCCTCACTGCTTTTCCCTTGTTCCCTTGGTAAATGCACAAGTTGAAGAGTGCTGTTGCAGCGTCCTTTTTACCCCTTTGTGTGCCTTCACTTAGCAGTGTCACTAATGGAGGGATTGCACCCGAGGCACCAATTGTCACCTTGTTTTCATCCACTACTGAAAGGCTGAAGAGAGCGGCTGCTGCATTCTCTCTAGCTTCCATGCTCCCCTTCTTAAGCACCTGGACGATACCAGGAACTGCTCCATAGGATATGATACTTCCTTTGTTATCTTCACAAATAGAAAGGTTAAGAAGTGCTGTTACAGCATGTTCTTGGATACGTGAGTCATGAGTTGAAAGAAGGCTCACAAGGAGAGGTATGGCCCCAGCTTCAGCAATGGCCACACGATTATTTGCATTGCGTTTGGCAAGAAGTCGGATTTCACATGCAGCCATTCTCTGGTCTTCAGGATTGCCGGATGCAAGCTTATGAAGGAGAACTTCAATCTTAGCATGTTCAGCAGGCGAGCAGGCAGATGTAGTTTTACTGGGTCGAGAACTACTAGGTCTTTTGGGTGGTTCAATACCATTTGCCTCACACCATTGAGCTATTAGACTACGCAATACATAATTAGGTGTAAGGGAAGAGCTACTGAGCGTCTGTTGTGTCTTTGGACATGTTCCATGCCCCTGCTCCAGCCATTTCTCAATGCAAGAACGTTCATAAGTCTACAAAAGTGAGTAATGAAACCTGTTATGGATATAGCACAAAGGTTCTCATAAACAAGACTTCAGACTCTGCACTCATGTGCAATTGCCCAAAACATGTATAAAACACAAAGTTCTTATAAATGTCATTCGGTTAGCATCCATTTGTTTGACGACATTAATTTTAGTGACTCATGCAATTTATATTGAACATCACAATATGACCAGGACCATGTCCAGAACTAACTTTTGGCCAGTATATTAATGGTGTGATAATGTGAGATGATGCAAAAAGCAGGTAAATTACCAAATAAATTTATCGAGCAAAATTGAGCATGTACTGACATTTAAGTAACTAAATGAGGAAGATGTTTTCAAGACCGAAAATAACTAAATATGTTGAATTGAAAAATCTCAGTATATCATGAACAAGAAATCTACAAATATACCTGCCCAGTTGAAACAATGACTGGATCCTTCATCAATTCCAGGGATATTGGACAGCGGAAATCATCAGGTATAACTGGAGTCTTGTGATTTCCATCAGTAGTTGCTTGCCCACTGCTACTTGGAGGAAGATTCTTTTCTCTTGAAGGAGCGTCCAGGTTAGGATTTTCTGTCTGTATAAAGTCCTTGATTTCCTTTAATAAATTTGACATCTTCTCAAATGTTTCACCAGGATCTCCACCACTGGCAGAAACCATCTCATGTAGAGCAAGCGATTCTTGAGTAAGTTCAGCTATCCCCACCAACTGTAACTTCTTAGCCAATCTCCTAAGTACATCTGGATCTAGTGCTGCATCATCGCTTTTGTTGTATGATGATAATAGATCCTCGTACAGATCAACATCAGGTGCATCAACTCTTCCTTTAGCTCTCCTGAACTGAGCTAGTACAAGCTCCACCTAAACATAGAATGTTATTCATGTAACTCATTTTTATGTTAAAAAAACAAATAATGAAGCAAGCTGAAGTTGCTTTAGGCCTCTCAAATTCTACTTTAATTGTGTTCAGAGTAGAATAGATCTAGTTTTGGTTGCTATCATCCAGTCTTTCCATGCTTATTACATGCAACTCCAAGAATAGACAATTAATGAAAGAATACTTCAATCACTTGAGGGTTCTATCTTCCATGTCTAAGATGACAATGATCCATTAAACCATCCTCGGGTCAAACAGTGAAGGACCCATTAAAAGCGAGAGGAGAAGAATGTACCATGTAATTTTTCTTAAAGCATTGTCTACCAATTGATCTATACCTGTTCCTTTACTTCATCTGATATGTCAAGATTCTCATAGGAAATTCCACTCAAAGCCTCCTCCAATTGAGCTGTCACTTCAAGAAATTTATGCATGATCTGCTCCCTCTCTAGAACCTGTTAGCAGGACACAAGCAATTTATCAATAAATGGTCAGATGTACTGATAAACCAGTCCACCAACATATGTAGTGTTTCAGGCAAAAAATTATTCCGAACAGAGAATTTGGCTTCACGAGAAAGGAATATGCTCATTCCTTTCCTCAGCAAAGTATTTAGACTATTAATCCAGCACATTCAAGAATTGAAGCCAATAGCCACTACGAATGGCCACACATTACTGCCCATCAAAAGTAGGGGCATGAGAATAACTTTTATGGTGAACCTCTTTGTCAACTTCAAAAATAAAACACCAAAATTATTGAAAAATACACTGAGCCATCACTGATGATTCCAAGAAAAACCCCAAAACCATTGAACTGCCAGAAAAATAGCATCGAGGCCAGAAACCTAGAGAGCCATATAAAGGGGCTGCTACTAATCGCTACCTCCCCTCCCCTTTTCTTCCTCCTGCATCCCCCCTCAATTCTGATGACCTCAAAGAACTTTCTGAATAAAAGACCAGAAGCAGTGCAACTGGAACATGACAAAGTGACAAACTACAGATGCAGAAACAATATCTCCAGAATCATAATGAAAGGGTTACTCTCATCCAGTATAGGCTTCCAATCATAATGATGACACCAGCTAGTTTCAGCCTAATATAATATGCAAAATAAAATAGCCATAGTTTAGCAAAAAAGGACCAAGAAGGTCATATTAAAAAATGATTCAGATTTGACATAATCTAGACACAATGGAGCAATCAAATAAATAAACGTTATATCATTTATTTCCCATCTACGATTCTACTTTAGCCTCGGATATATTGATCATGAGGACGCATGAAAATCTTTTGCATAAGAGTTTCTAATAATAATTACCAGAAGAAAAAGGAACCACGTAAATTTTCTTTTAAATTAATAAGAAAATGTAGAGCTAAATATAAAATTAGATTTTATACTCATCTTCCACTGGATAACGCTGTACTTTAGCATAAAATTGATGGTTAGATATTTAGATATTATTATTGCAAGGGAAAAAACGAATTATCTCCACGCACTTCACAATCTAATTTTTTCCTCCACTTTCTAACCAGCCGAACAGATCCAAAAAAAATTGACAAATAATTAGCACTACTCACACACCAGGTAAATCTTGCTGCCTTCACTGCCGAATCTGAGAAGCTCCTTCGCCGAAACGAGAGCTTCTTTCAACGAGACCAAAGCTTTAACAGTTTCTTCAGAAATTATCTCTTTGCTATCTCTAATCTCCTCGAACATTGGCGTCAGAAGCTTGAGTCTCCTAGCGAGATTACAGTACTCCTTCTTGATGGAGCATCTGTAGTCGCTGATTGAAGCTATTTGGTTCACCGCATCGATCAAGCTCTGCACCAGCTCTCCTTTCTCTTCTTCCATTCCGGATCCGGATCTCGTTTAAACGCTTCCAAACTTGAAGGCTTTGATCCTAATGGAGATTGAGTTAAGTTTTACAAAGCAAACAAGAGGAAAAACACGTCTCCATTAGAGAGAAGACTTTGACAGCGAAGAGAAAAGGATGACACGATGCGAAAGTTTAACAAAGGCTTAATATAAAAATAGTTGCTTAAATTGTATATTTTATTCATTTTGTCTCGATACTAACAACTGTTATTTTTTTTAACTAAGTGGATGTTTTATAACTCTTACGTGCGTTTAATTCACGGAATATAAGATAATTAATGGGAATAAAAGATTATCAGAGAATAGAATTACTGAGAATGTTATATTTTGTGTTTAGTTGATTTAGAAGGAATATAAGATTACCGTATTTGGTTAAAGGAATAAAAAATTATTGGAATGTATATTTAACCAAATTGTTCTTATTATATATTTGTATAATATTACAAATTATAAAATATTTATATATTTTATTTAAAAAATTAAATTCATAATATTTATATAAGTATTTTTACAAAATTAAAAATATAAAAAATGTTTAATGAAAGGATAAATTGTTTTTAATCCCTGAACTTCATATAAAATTTTAATTATAGAATTTTTTTTGTAAATCTAAAATAATTTAAGAATAAATTTATAATTTAACCTTCGTAGAATTTTTATTATTCAATGATAGAAAAATGATATTTTTGAAAAAAAATAAAAATTTAAGGGCATTTTAGTCCAAAACGTCGGTAATGTTACAATACCTAAGGGAAGGGAAGGGAAGGGAGGTAATAACATTCCCGGTAATATACCCCAAAAAATCTACTATTAGTAATAAAACATTACCGGGAATGAGATTCTCAGCCAACCAAACATGTCCTTGAACCAAACACCCCCTTAATAGAATCATTCAACGCATTTATTTCGTACATCCGAATGGTTCAGTGCTGACTGATTCAACAAAATAATATTGAATGATTCAGCACAGAAGTACATTCTAAATGATTCAGAGCTAGTAAACAAATAACATGTCACATTCAGAGTCACTAAATCATTCAACATTTAAATCATTCAGCATTTGAATCATTCAGCATTTAATCATTTTGAAGTAAACAAACAACCCCTAATATGGGTTATATTCTGATAAATTTGAAAATTTAAATTTTAAAAACCCTTAAAAGTATTTTATTTAAAAACCCATTGTTTTCTAAAATACCAAAAAAAAACTTTAAACTTCATAAATACCTAATTTCACCCATATTAATATTTGATTGGTTGAAGTCATTTTCGATGAGTCTGACGGCGATGAGAAAACAACATCATTATCGACACTGATGGAGATAAGTCCTAATAGTATTTCGATCATTGTTATAGCAGCACTCACTGTCGCTTCATCTTCTTCTCCTTTGTGTTTCTCCCCCTTTCTTTCTCTAATTTGTACCTTCGTGACGTCACTCACCGACTGTCATTGTATCGTCATCGAAACCCACCTATCACTTGTCAGACTCTACTTTTGGCCACCCTTTATCATTAGCCAAATAGGAAATTAGGGGTTTTGAGATTTGAGAATTAGGATTTTTTTTAATTGTAGGGTATTTTGTGTAAAATAGAAAAGTTTAGAGTATTTTTAATTTTTTAAATAAAAATTTTAAAAGTACTAGAATATGACATGTTTCACTTAACAAAATTCTTCAACGCTCATTATGGTCGGGACACTTAAAATTGTAACTTTTGTAACGTTAAATACTTAAATTGATCAAAAAAGGTTTAAGCACCTAAATGAAAAATATATATAGTTTGGGCAACTTTTTTATATTAAGTTTTTAATAAATAATATGTTAATTTACAACAGGGCATTAAAATATATTAAAATAATTTTTTAATAATTAAATTTTGGGAAAATTATACCATACCACTAAACTTTGAATTATTTTAATTATATAATTAAACTTTGATTTTGACTTTGATCGTAACACTAATCATTTAATTTTCAAACGACATGATGACATAGACAAAATGACATCATTTTAATATTACTATTGACGTATAAAACGATATCATTCTAGACACTAAACTATAAGGGTTTGAGATATTTCTCAAATTTAAGAGGTTTGTTCGAAAATTTAAATTGTAAGTATTATTTCAAGTAGACGAACAATATACCTCAAAAGTAGCCTCATTGGACGACCGTTGAATGAGATCAAAATATTAGCACGTCCATTTTGGATGGGTTTCATGAAAAACCAATGTTATGATAAGAAATGTGAGTGAAACATCAACATTTTGATATCAATGTTGCCACGAATGACGATCGATGAAGAGTGACGATTGATTGTCAGTGTTGACTTGAAAAGTGTAATGCTAAAAAACAAAAGTTTAAAAGTTTAGTGATACAACGACTCAACCCTAAAGTTTAGTGTAATACTTCAAATTTCGATGCTCAAATAGGATCGATCGAATTTAAGATTCTCAATTAAATTCTTATTTTAATTAATATTAAGTGATTTCGATTTTTAAAATAACAAATCAATTTTAAAGAAATTTGATTTTTGAATTTAATACTAGATAAATTATGAAGTATTTTATATCAAGTTGATGTATCGTATTTAGTTTTTGAAATATTAAGCGAATATTCTAAAACTATTTTCGAACATTGAATTAAGAAATCGAGTGATTTATTCAATTGTGTATTTTATTTTAAAGTGATTTTTCTATTTATGTGTTTGATTTTATAATTTGAATATATATATATTTGTGTGATGATGGATTTGATTGATAAAAATAATATTTGTATTTATTTGAATAAATGAGAATCATTGTAACACTCTAAATCTATATGGATCTAAAGTGTCACATTAGGATACCTACAGAATCACTAAAGTTTAAAACTTTTTCCACTTTCATTTTAAAACAAATAAGTTTATCATAATAGACATCCATAACATTTGTAAAATATTTTTACAAATCGAAGTTTTATAACATAAAATTTAAACCAAAATGATACAATTTTAAAGTTACAGATCAATACATAAGTAAGGGTCCTATGAATGCATATTTCCACTACAAGTAACAATATTTTTTTTATTAATCTAGGATAAGTACAAAGTAGTATATGTTTAAAGATAACTCTCAACCTCACAATATTGAATGCTCACACCCCTGACATCTATGGTGCTCGAACTCGGGTCCTCAAGGAATAACAACAATTCATTTAACACGAAGGTCACTTAGTTCGTGCACAAGTAATAGTACAATATGCTGAAATGAGATGTTGAAACTCTTACTACGATAATGCTCCTCCAATAACTCAAGCTACTAACATGCAAACAGAAACATCTGAATGCTGAGCTCACAAAGCTTAGTAATATATTGTTAATCCATTATAACATTATGAGTTTCGTAAACATAAGCATGTTAACATATATGTCCACTACAAGTAACTGTACTATATGCTGAAAGGAGATGCTGACTACGATAATGTTCCTCCAATAGCTTAAGCTACTAACCTGCTAACAGAAACATCTGAACGTTGAGCTTACAAAACTCAATAATATATTGTTAGTCCATTATAACATTATACATATAAACATGTTAGCAGATATGCCAATAGCCAATAAGTACATGCATGATTCATAATCAAGTATTACGTGCTTAGGATTCATCAATTTTATCTTAAATGTATGACTCTCATGCTTTCCCTAGTATGTAACTAAGGGTCTAGCCATGAAAATATATCAGGTCTCTAACCCCAATATCATATAAGTCATGCATCATCATATATAAATACACAATCATCATACAAACACAATGATAGCATTTAATATCGCCATGGTCGTTAGATACTTATCATAAATAAAGAAATATGGTGTCCCAAATGCCTTTATAAAATTTTCACCAATGAATACAGTGATCTCTTGGTCTCAACGTAGCCATCATATCAAAATCATAGAAGGGATATCGATGTCACATATGCCTCGATATAGGTTTCGCTAATAAAATATAACATTAGCTTGGTCACTATTACAAGTTAACCTAAGCATCATGGACATCCATAAACCATCACCAATGTAATCACAACAATCATGAGTGCATATAGGTCACACACAACAATCATTGACTCATAAGGACAATCAAGATAGCTCAGCTACATACTATATAGTTCAATACAATCAAGTGAAATCACTCTCTCACTCATCTCTAACTCACATGTTCTCTCTTCTAGAACTTTATGCGAGGAAAACTAGTCATTTTTCATTTGTTAGTCCATTAGAGCACTCTACTCAGTTATTTAGCACATAAGGACATCTAGATCATTTACACCTTTGTAGGGACTTTTTAGTAAATTTATGACATTATGGTATTTAATATTATTACTACCTATGTGGTATATTGTTTACTAACTTGGTACTAGATTCGGGGTTGATTACTCATTAACGACTCTCTAGTCGTTATCATCACACTTTCCTTAATTCACCCTTACACTGAAGGGATGACTTGCATGTTTTCACATGGTACACAGTTCATATATATATTTGTATGGTACATCATCTCGCTTGTAAACATATCATTTGCAACAATCCTTTGTTCACTGTTGTTTGTTACGTGTCTATTTAGGACACTTCTAAAGTTTCTTACACATCGAGGGTGTTTTGATAATTTATGATAGTATTTGGGTTATTTCCTATGTTATATGTTCAATCACCTCCTCTCTGACTAGGAGAATTGAAACACCTTCACTTTAGTGGTAAGAAATTACCCACTGTTGGTATTAGATGTTGAGATACCTTCACCAACGGAAAGATGATTTTACCTACCAACCATGTTTTTCTAAAAAGGAAAATGATCTTTCTCTATCTAAAAAAATGAGAGTATGAGATGTCTCTGCTATCCAACAAAGTCAAGAAATGGTTGTTAAATTTCTTGTTGTAAATCTCAGATTAAGCCACTTTATAGAATTCCCTCAACAAAGTGGGTACAATTTGTTATACAATTGGAGATAACCTTTGAAAACTATCAACTCTCCGCTACAAAGAACCTCAAATAGACCCTTCGACTTACCAGAGCATCCAATGAGCCCATATCCTTTAGGCACAAGCCTCATAGACAAATACAATATATAGACAAGG